GGTAACAGAACCAGGAAGTGAGACCAACCTATGCCAAGACCCTGCCACAGAAGCCTAGCCCTGGAATGAACTGGGAGAACCTGAGGAAGGCCCGGGCACCTGGAAGCTGGAGTGAGCACTGTGCTATGGAGACAAGACTGGAATGAGGGGCCCTTGATTAGGCAAGGCCTTAAAAGGCATAGAAAGGATTTCTGCCTGTAGCCCAGGGATGATGGGGAGCTACTGAAATAGCTTCCACAGTGGGCAACACCATCAGACAGGGAGCCCAGAAAGGTAACCGGCTGCAAGGGGAGAACAGGCTGCAGGTCAGGGGAGCAGGTAGGCCTCCGGAAGAACTGAGATGGGTGCTGTTATACTCCCCCTCCATTACCACTGGAATCAGCTGGGTTTAGGATTGAAAACAGAGGTGGCCATTTCTCACACTTGATGCTCAGTGAGCTATTCATCACTACGTGACTTTACGTTTCACCCTGTTCCCTTTGCGTCTCTCCTATTACCTGGCTGGCTCCTACCCACCTTTTAGAACAGTTAGACTGCATCTTCTGAACACTGACCAGGCATCTCTGACCAAACACCTTCCCCCAGCGCTCCTAACACACTGTGCATGCCTCTTCTGTTTACCATAAGGACTTCTGTAATCGACATGCTTGATGATTATGTTGAATCAGAATGAGACAACCTCTAAAAGTATTCACATTACACACACATTTATTAAGCCATTATAAAAATGCCCATCTCTCGCTCTCCCCAGTTGTCAATTTTTCTATCTCAAAAAATGCATTGCCCATGTTATACTAAAATCATTCTTGAGGGGCCAGCAAGTGGCATGGAGGTTAAGGCAGCTACATCCCACATGGCCAACTGCATAGTTCGAGTCCCGGACCTGCGGCTTGATAAATATGCCAGGTGTGTGTATGTGTATACCCAAACTTCCTGGAAGAGAATGGGAGAGAGGGATTGCAGCATGGCCATCCTCCCAGGGCAGCGGGGGGAGGGTGCTTTCTCACTCTTTCTGTCTCTAGTGGGCATAGGAACCCTATAGCAATTTTTTTTAAAATCATCTTCCTGGAAAAAAATGAAATTTTAAAAAAATGTTCTGCTGGGCAAGTGGAAATTATTTAATTGGGGGATGCTCTAAACAATCTGAGAAGACATGGAAGATGTAGGATTATAGAAATACATGTTATGTGATAAAACAAAACATGTAATGTTGGAATCATACTAGGTAAAATCTTACAGATTTATATTAAGGTCTGCAAAAAAATCTAGAATAATCAATACTAAGTTAAATCAAATTTCTGATTTGGTTACAAAGTCACCTGTTTTTAAATACCAAAAACGTTTTTTTGTTTTTGCTTTTTTGACTTTTTGGCCATAAGGCATGTACACTTGCTGGTGGGAGGGGGGTAGAGTGAAAAATCACCCCCTCCCTGGGGGGTCCAATCCCCTCTCCATTCTCCTCCCGAGATTTTCAAGATGCACACGCACCCAGCATAATTTTCATGCGACTCAAACTGTGGAGCCAGCCATGTGGAATCCAGCACCATAACCTACGTATACCACCTGCTGGTCCCCAAATGTGTTTTTTAAAACTTCATTTTCGTTTTTACAGCTTAGCTTTACTAATGGTGCAATTAAAATGGAACAATTTTCTTTTAAATTTTCTCCAAATAATGCTACCTACCAGGCCTCAAGGATAATAACACTCAACTTTTTCAACAACCTGAATCATATTAAAAATAAGACTATGACACCAAATCACAAACAACAAAAGAAACAACAGATAAAGTGGACTTCATTATTATTAAAAACTTTTTTGCTTCAAAGGGTACTATCAAGAAAGTGAAAAGACAAGCCACAGGACAGTAGAAAGTATCTGTAAATCATGTATTTGATAGGGAACTTACATCCAAAATATATAAAGAACTCTAAAGACAGACAATAACAAGCATTGACAAGAAGTGGAGAAACCAGAACCCTTGGACACTACTGTTAGGATTGTATTAATAAAATGGTACAATATTGGAAAATGGTTTGGCACTCCCTCAAAAAGTAAAACAGAGTTACCATAAGACCTAGCAATTTCTCTCTTACATGTATACCCATAAGTCATGAAAACATATGTCCATATAAAAACTTAAAAACACAAATACTCAAATTTCATTATTCATCACAGCTCCAAAGTAGAAACAACCCAATGTCTATCAATGGATGAAGGAATAAATTGTGGCAAATACATACAATGCTTCAAAGTAGGTGAACCTCAAAACATAATGCTAAGTGAAAGATGCCAAACAGGAATGGTCACATATTGTATGATGACATTTCTATGAAATATTCAGAATAGGCAAATCCATAGAGATAGCAGATCTGCAGTTGGCTGGGTCAGAAGAAATGACTGCGAATGGGTATGGGGTTTCTCCTTGGGATGATAAAAAATTCTGAAATTAGATACGGGTGATGGTTGCACAATTCTGTGAATATACTAAAAACCACTGAATGGTGCATTTTAAAAGAGCAAATTGTCCAGTAAATGGAAGACATATATGTATATATCTCCTGAGAATTAGAAACTAAGACCCTAGAATTGAATCTATACCACTACAGCTGCAAATGGTCTCCTTGTGCTATCCCTTCAGCAGCATCCTATTGAGTAAATCAGTTACACATACAATAGATACCACTCTAGGATTACGATACCATGTGCTGGCACCAGCATGTGCTTTATATGTCACACCCTAATCTGAATGGGAAGCTGGACAAGTAGGTCACTGGCAGGAAAGAAAATGAACCATGTTCTCAGTGGGTTCCTCAAAAAACAAGAGAAGAGCATTTTATGTCAACCCTTTTCTTCTTACAAGACTATTTTCCCAGTTTTTCTATTGTGTACTTTCATCTTGCACTATCGACTGTTTATGAATAGTTTATTAGTAGAACCTTCTTCTCTGGCCTCCTCCAATCCCTTGCTGACCTCCAAAGCTGTATACGTCAATGAACCATGTGGGGGGGAGGATATAAAGCATAAAGATCTAAGCACCTAGAACACATACCCCTCTTATATGGATGTTTGTATAGACATGATATTTTTTTATTTTTTGGCCAGAGGATGTGTGCACTCACCAGAAACAGACAGAGGAGGAGAGGGAGAAAGCACCCCCCAATGGGGGATGGTCATAGCGCCATCTTTTCTCCTCCACTTCTTCCTCCATTTGGGATTT